GAAACTATTAGAAACTTAGCAGTAATGAAAAGACAAGAAATGAACCCAGCTGCTAAAGGGGACTAACAAAATTTCTGACCAGTTATTCTTGTACCCAACATTGTATTTTTGCTTAAATCACCCCCCACCACCTTTGATGCTTATCCATACAGGTTATTTGTTAGATAGAAGGCTAAAGTTTTCAGAACAGTCTTTTGAATTCTTGTTTACACAACTGAAAAAAAAAAAATCAGTCTGTTGCTGCTGTATGTGCCTGCCTCATTTCAGAATATGGATTTAGAAGCTAGCTTTAGACATCTGTTACCATTTGGCCATCTCAGTCTGACCATCTATTTGGTCATCTTGGATCTCAGGGCCTAGACCTAGGCTGTCCAACTTATTTGGCTCCAAGGGCTGTATACAGACCTCAGGGCTTCTTCTGGACCAGGCAACCTACATCTAGCAGCAGTGGCAGCTTGTTGGCATAGCTCTTGGGCTAAGGAGGCATAGCTCTTGCTGCCTTCTGTCCCTTCTTTTCCCCTGCTGCTGCTTTGCCAGGGGTGACCAAAGACCCTATATTCAGTGGTAGGCAAGGGGGCACAGAGGCAAATGGTGGTGGCATTCACTCCCTGGGTTCCAGAGCTGCACAAGCCCAGCAGCTCCAGCAAGTCACCATCCCAGGGGCCACAATTTAACCCTTTTCAGGCTGCAAGCAACACACAGGCTGCCAGTTGAACAGCCCTGACCTAGACAACCAAATCCAAATAGGAAGGATGTGATGTTCTAGATTCATTTCTCAGGGCCTTGCGACAAGGTATTTAGCAGAATTCACAGATTTGTTGGAACCTGACATGGCCGTGCCATGAGCGCTTCTGCTCTGGCCTCAACCTCTGGGCTTCCAGTCGCTCACTGCAGTGTCCATGCCACCGGAGTGGGGTTGGAACATCAGACAATAACAAAATGTTACTCCTACTCTGAAAAAATAAAATAGCTATAGGTTTATATAACAGCTATAATATTCTTTTTCTGTGGATCCAAAATAATTCCCTCATGTTAGCAGTTATATTTTACTGACTCGCTTTTGTCAGCAATTTGCTATTGGAATAATTTTTTTTAAGTTCGCAGTTTCCATATCCCAAAAGTGTAATACATTTTAACTGTCTTTGTCATTCTCCAACAGCCAAATAAACTATAATTTTTAAAAAATAAGACCAAAGCAGAACCAAGCATAATGAGTATGAAGAAGGAAATACTAATGTATTTTAATTAATGCCTATTTGATCCCAATTATAGTATTAAGCACAATTGAATTCCTCCCCTCTTCTGAATTTGTAATTTCTTTACCCAGGAAAAACCACACAGAACAGTTTCTTTTCTTGAATTAAAATCCTTGTTCTTTATATAGCTTTTGCATTAAATATCTTCACCCCCTGTGATCTAACATGACCCTGCCTGCTAGGAGGGAATATTTAGAGGTTAAAGAACCGAGTTTGGCTGGGAGGCAGGAGGAGATGCACAGACCATACATGATTTTTCAGTGCATTGGCCTCTGAATTAAAACAGAGCCCTTCTGAGCTTGCCTACTGGAATGACTATGCGATACAGGCTTCTAGTGGGAATGTCAAATCCAGAGTGCTGGGAAAAAATATTGACTCAGATTTGAAAATGAGTAATCCCTATGTTCTCTAATGCAATATTTTCTTAAAACTGACTGCATTATCATGTTACATTTAACCCACTCTCTCCCAGAGACTGAAATGTAACTGCAGCAATAACCACTATAACAGAACTTATGATCTTCTCTAACAAATGGCACACGTGCTCACTTAAGCAGAGTAAATACTCAAGGACCAGTTCACCTGCACTCAGGTTGGCCCAATTATCTCTATCTTGTACAGCCAGCCATCCTTAAACTAATATTATAAACCAAGGATCCTGGTTTTCTCCATTTAAAAATTGCAAATTCTCTGATAAAAATCCGATGTTCTTCAATTAAAACCCCCAAATCCGCATGTTTTCCATAAAACTCTATATCTATATCTCTGTTGAACACAAAGTTTCATTGATATATATACAATTTTAAACTAATCTGGAAGCTTACCAATGTCTGACCTCAATCATTCTAATAAAATAAATTCTAAATACCTCCACAGCCCAGTGGGTAGGACCCAGAGCAGGAGGGCAGAGCAGCGTGGTGAGATTCATTGCTGCCACTGGGACTGAGGCACCAGTTATGTCACCAGCAGCATGAGGACTAATGGACCGGGGCTGGGGGCCTGTGTTGCCCTCACCTCCTCCCACCACCAGCCGCTAATGCACTGAGCTGTGGCTCTACCGCGCTGCCATGGACTTGCCACTGCTGCTACCCCCTCAGGCTACCTGCATTGTCTCCCACACTTCTCCTCCAGGGTAAAGCCATGGCCTGAGGGGAGTGGCAATAGTGGCAGGGTAGAGCCATGGCCCAGCATGTAAGCAGCTGGCGGCAGGAGGAAGTGAGGGCAGCAAAGCCGCTCCGGTCTGTTACTCCTTATGCTGCTGGTGGTGTGGCTGGCACAGAGGTCCTGGCAGCAGCAGTATTGAGCCTCCCTGCCCTGTACCACCTCCTGTGCTGGGTCCCACTCGCTGGGCCATGGAGACAGCTCCTGCCCATGCCAGTCCAGTCAGGCTGTAGTCCTATGCCCAACTGTGAGCACAGAAATCTGGGAGGCATGTGCCCCCCCACCATGTCACTTATGTCCCATCATGCATTGCCAAGACCCCTCTGTCTCATAGACTTACCTGTGAGGAGCTGCTCTCCATCACTCTGCCTAGCTGCCATGTGCATGTGTGCACACACACATGCATGTGGCACCCCGTAACTGTGATCATCCTCCTCCTGCTCCCCCAGCCCCAAGCAGCCCCTTGAAGGCTGGAACTCTGCCAGCCTGCAGGGGAAAACAGTTTCCCACATTTTCTCCTCTAAAGGGGAAAATTCATGTTTTTCTCCTTAAAGGGAACATTTGTGTTTTTCCTTGGCAAGCAGAAAAACCCCTTATCCCTGGTTATAACTCACCTGCTGTAGCTTACGAAGGGTGACTGGGTGACCCATGCAAACTGGGGAGTCCGGTTCAGCAGTGCTGCAGGATCTTCTGAGCACAGGACTCAGGTGCACAGCAAAATCAGCAGAATGAGCCAGTTGCTGTGGATCCACTGAAGGTAACTGTGAGGTCTTTGGAGTAACCATCGCTGTGGTGCCAATGAAAATGGGTGCTGTTGATGCTACGCCAGGCATATTGAAACTCATGGATGCGGCATTTGGAAAGGAGCCAGGAGGAACAGGGGAAAGTGGATTGGTGATTGCTGGAGAGCAGATCAGAGGAAAGGGTGCAAAGGCTGTAGATGGCACTACCACACAGGGAATGCTAAGTGAAGGTAACTGGCTTGGAGACAGACCAATTGCACTGTGAGTTTGGTTTGCCGAAAACAGGAAGTTAAAACCACTTAATCCTAAAGCAGAGAGAGAGAAAAAATTTCACAAATTAATGCAGTTGGCAAACTGAAATTATGTTACTACCTCATTATTCAAAAAAAGGGGAAAAAAAAAAATCAGAAGAGAGTGAAGTTGCCTAGGAAACACCAAAAACACAGAAAGTAATGGACCACATGCGTCAGAGATCTGCTCACTATTTATGTTGTACTGTACACTCTATTGCCTTCTCTCTCAACTTTGCTTTCTCTTTGTCTGTTTAGATTGTGTTCATACATACCATCTACCTTGGCTGCTGCATAAGTAATCAGTGAAAGATCTAAGGTGCACCTTGCATGTATAAATTGTTAGCACACTAATAGAAATAATTTGAAATTGGACAACATACGTTTAACTTGAAATCAAACAACCCTGCCCCGCACATTCATCATAGGCCCCATCAAAATTTACTGAATTTAATGGAAAGCCTTTCATTGTTTTCCAATGGACTTGGCTCCAATTTGCCTGATCTTACAAGCACTTTGACTGATATTTTCCTACTAAGGCCTCCATCCTGCAAACTCCATGCAGATAAACCCCTATACCCACGTGAAACCCTGTTGACTTCTATGGCCTCTTCGTCACAGAGGGAGCAGATCCTGAGGCAGTAGCCTCTAAATTCCCCAGCACCCTTCCCTCTATCCAGCTTGTATACAATCCAAAGTACTTAGTGGGTGTGTCTACACTTGCATTAATGCACCATCGCTACAGCGCATTAAGTTTAGTACCTCTGAGGCACTACATAAATACACAGTAGCCAGTGCTAATGTGCAGTAGCAATGGTCCATGGTCTGTTTGTGGCACTTAATGCACAGCAGACTAATTCTACTGCACAATCAGCACATTAGCACGGTTTTTGCCGTGATGTGCTAGTAGAATTAGTTTACTGTGCATTAAGCATCTCATGTAGATGCACCAACTAATATCCAATTCTCTGTTTTCAGTTGTTTTTTCTATCCCCATTCTGTCCTCTAGGAGGCCACTTCTTGTCCCTGTCTTTTGATGTTATCCAGATGACACCCCTGTCAAATGTGTACCAGTTAACAGAGAAGCTTGTACCAGGCTTTAGCAAGTTCGCTTCTCAGAACCCTAGGTCTCAGTTGCTGTGCTGCCTAATTCACCAGCCTAAGCTTAGAATTTTCTATACTCTTGAACGCAAACTGTTTTTTCTTGCCACTGTGGAACACCATGGCACTTGGGGTAGTCGCAGACAGAACTGGGGGTTAAAATATAAAGTTTCAGGTGCCTGGTAGATTCAGTATGGCCAATTCTGGCAGAATTGCAGATTCTGCCAATCATAGCAGACAACAATTGAGGTCTATTACATCCTGGAACAAGGTAGATTCCAGGACTATGGAATCCACAGAACCTTGTGTGAAGTTCTCCTAGAATTTTTATTTCACGTCCTCTGCAGGCTCATGAGGCCACTACTGCACTAGTTACACACATTCAAGGTTTTCTCTCTGCTAGCAATTACTATTTTTTTTATTTATTTTTTTTTAGGGATAAGAAAGTTTAAGGTTCAGAAGGGCGATTGCAATGTGAAGAGTAAGGCAGGTAGCTCTGAAATACTTAGGACCCTAGCTATTCACTTAGATCTGCATTTTGCTGTGTAAATAAAAAGTGGCCTAGTTTTCAGAGTTGCTGAGAACAGCTGTCACTGAAGTCAATGGCCTACCTAATCCACAACACTTATGAGAACCAAGCCATTGTAGCTTGCAGAAATACAGATTGCAGAATCTAACTTTAGGTACTTATGTTGAAAACAGGCCTTCATCCTTCAGCCAGAAAACATCTAGATGTGATTACAATCCTTACCAGCACCAGGCTGAAGATAGAGATACTGTGGGAGGAAGGGCTGTTTGCCATTTTCTTGCAAGGGTTCTTGAAGGTCTTTATTCCTCAATGGCTCTTCCTGCTCCAGAGAATCTAAAGGTTTAGCTGTATCCTTTTCTGCAGACTTATCAGCTGCAGGAGTTCCTAGGTCAAGATGAAAAGCTCCTATGTGTAGAGTAGATGCACAGCTGCCTTCCAGGAGAGATTCCCCTTCAGCTGACTCAAAAGACTTCTGAGCGAAACAGAATTGGAAATGAAGAATTTAAATTAAAATAGTGCCATGCTGTAACCTCACACCCTTCCTTGATTTAAAAGTGAGAGTCACACCAGTGCAGAGGGGCAGCACAAAAAGTTGCACCACTCAAGTTTTGTTCTGAGAGGTTAGATGGGAGCTAAGTGTCTAAGTGGTGCCCAGGCTCTCTGCACAGGGCTGTGTTTTGTTTCCAGTGGTTAAGGATATTATTTAGTTTTTATTTTCTTACAGGAACACCCAGAATGTGGCACTGTTTCTTTTAGTTGATTTGAAGGGGGAGAAAAACCTGCCACCATGGTGCCCTTCTATACACTTCCAACACATCCAGTTCATAACACTGATTTGGAGCCAGAGCATAGCTCCTTGAGCTCTTAGAGAACTCTGAAACCCTCCTCCCTTTGCAGAAGCTGGCTCAGTGGCCCATACTGCAGGGAGTAACTGTTGGATTGGGATGCTATTGAAAGAAGCAGACTGGAGAGAAGGGAGAAGATACCTTTCCCTTCCCTCCCCTCTAGCTCTATGGATTGAACAATGCTGCTAGGCTGGGTCTCACTGGGACCAGAGCCAACCAGTGTTGAAGCATGGGGCTTCCCAAAGATCTGCCAACTTTGGAAGGAATCTCCATGACAGAACAAGGCAAAGGGATACAAACAATGACAAGACTCCTTTCCTGTAAGTTTTTCTAAGGTAACAACTAATCAGGGCCTTAGTTCTGTAGAGCAGCTAAGCTGTACCTCGCACATCAAAGCAGATCTGTTTCGCTGGAAGCACACTGCACATCTTCCAATTAACACTACACCAGATATATATACCATCAACCCTCCACAATTATATTTGCATGTGGGAGGTGGCATTTTTAAATAGATATTAGCAGTGAATTTTCATCTGGGAAAAGACTATTTCAAATGAGATAATAGCCTTTCCCCTGCCATTATTACTAGTGCAAAACCCAAGCGCTAATTAAATGCACACTCTTACCTTGGGTAGTACCAGTGAGATGGGGGCATCACTCTGTTCCATAGCTGGCTTTTTGGCAGCTGGCTCTTCACTGCCCACAAGCATAGAGGGCAATGCTAATTTCTGGGAGCTGCGCTTGTGGCAGGTAACTGAACTTACAGCAGCTTGTGGATTTAGGGGTGAGGCCTG